CTTACTCCTTGAGGGTGCTCCTCGTCGAACTCCTCAACCTGGAAATCAGGAATCGCTGGCCCCTCCTGAGGGACAGCCTCGTCACCCCCTCCTGGCACTGGCTCCTCATCAGCAATATCTTCCTCATCAGCAACATCTTCCTCATCAGCAACATCTTCCTCATCAGCAACATCTTCCTCTCCAACCTGTAAGTCTGGTTCGTTCTCTGAACCATATATCCAATCTTCTTCATCATCAAACTTATTTCTACTTTCATCGAACACAACATTTCTTGCAAACATAACTTTCCTGTCAGGAATACACCACACCTTATATCCATTGTCGCAGTAACCCAACATAACACATTTCTTATTTCTGTAATCAAATTTTCCGTTCAGGAGTTCCTTTGGTGTTTTCACATAGCCCACGCACCCAAACACTTTTAGGTGGGAGACTTTAGGCTTTTCCCCGGACCACAGTTGGAATGGAGTGACCTCCTGGTTAATAGCCCGAGTTGGTGACCTGTTTAACAGATAGACAGCAGTTAGTACAGCTTCGGGCCAGAAACTCTTCCTGAGATTGCTACCAAATAACATGCATCTAGCTTTATTTAGGATTGTGAAATTCAGTCTTTCTGCAACTCCATTATTTTCAGGTGTGTATGGAATATTAAGCTCCATTTTAATGCCCTTTACTCTGAACAACTCCTGGACTTCATTATTTACATATTCGCTTCCATTATCACACCGAAATACACTAATACCATGACCAAACTTTGCATTCACTCTGGCAATGAAAGACTCTAAGCATCTAAACACCTCGCTTCTGCTTTTTAGTAGAAACACCACTATAAAATGGGAAAAATCATCAATTAGGGTCATAACATATTTGAAGCCGTTGTATGCAATGGGACGGATAGGACCACATAGATCACTATGAATTCTCTCCAGTACTCTGGTGGTCCTCGGCCTAGAACCTGGAAAGGGGGATTTAACCTGTTTTCCCTGTACACAAATATCACAGAATTCACGACCTTCACACTTTAGTCTCACCATACCTTCCACCATCTGAGACACTTTCTTCAAATTGTCATTTCCTGGGTGACCAAAACGTTTGTGCCAAAGTCGTTCCTCTTCAGTCAGAAGCGACAACTCACCACAGTCTGTTGACGTTAAAACATTGAATTCATACAGGTTAGTTTCCCTTTTTCCTGTAGCAACTAAGGACCCGTTATCATAGATATTGCACTGGCTATTCCAGAATGCAATCATATAACCCTTATCGTCTAATTTAGAAATAGATAACAAATTATGTGAAAGACAATCTACCACAAGGACTTCCATGTCAAGTCTTTGGTCCACTCCATGGACTTTCACCCAACCATACAGAGTTCCTTTGGACCAGCCTTTTAGAGCCACTCCAGACTTTGCAACTTGGATCACCACTGGTTTTTCCAGCCTCACTAGGTTAGAGACCGGCACATCAGGTCTGACCAGATGTCTCGACGCACCAGAGTCCAAAATAAACCTGACTTCAGTAAGTTTCTCGTCGACTCGTAGAGCTAAAACATCAGCAGTTAGTTTTTCAAAATCAGATTCTACCACAACTACCTCGTCATCCTCCTTCCACATGAAGCTGAAGCTCTTGTCAATCACTCCGCCGTTGTTGTCGTCTGCTGGAGCTTCTGCTGCGTTCATGGCCCGGCTGTTGTTTTGATGTCCACCGCCACGGCCACCTCGACCGAAGCCTCTGAGTCCCCGTCCACGGCCGGATGGAGCGCCTCTGGAGGGGGGAGCTGCCGTTGGCTGCGCCCTCTCCGCGTAGCCGCCTCGATGTGCCTGCCCGCCACCCCGGCTGGAGCGCCAATTTTGAAATTGGCCACGGGCACGGGCACGAGCAGCCGCCTCTCTGACCTGGGAGATGTTCTCTTCACGAGTCTCGCAGTCCTTCCGCATATGCCCGAGACCACCACACCTGTGGCAAGAGTACGGTTGGGTCCGATGGCCCTTGGCAGAGAAAGCCGACTCAGCTTTCGGGGCACGCTTCTGCACCGGTCGACTCTGCTCATACTCCTCGATCCTCAGACGAGCAAACGCGAGAGTCAGCCTCGACGCCTCCACGATCCGTATGGCGGACACAATACTCTCGTACTCCGGCGGCATGCTGAAAATGAACTCCAGCACTGTGTCCATTTCGTCCTTCACAGCCCCAGTCTGCCGGAGCTCTCGGAGCGTCTTGTCAAACTCCGTGCAGTACTCCCGGAATGTTGAGGAGGCCGGTCTGTACTTCAGGCTCATGTACTTTTTCATGATGGCCGCTCTGCTGAGACATGTCGACCGCTCGAAGTTTGACTTCAAGGCATCCCATGCCTCCTTCGCGGTTTTGGTGCCTTTCAGACACTCAAGCTGACAATCCGCGACCCTGCTGACGATAAAGTTTAGGCACTTTAGGTCGCGCTTCCTGGCGTCCTCCCGAGCCTCTGCCTTCCGCCGCCTGACTCTGTCCGAGTCGTCCTCATGGTCCTCCAGTGGCGCCTGGAGCGACACCAAACCGGTCTCGGCCAGTTCCAGCACATCCTCCTTGCGGAGGAACACTTCCATGCGGAACTTCCAATCATCGTAATTCCTGCCATCAAACAGCGGAACACGGAAGCGATTTTCATCCTCCATGATTGTTCCTAGAAGAATACAAAGCACATATAGTTACCACTCTCCACAGGGCACCTAACCTCTCTTATTCCCGCGCAACACGCGTGTTTGGAGAAGGCCGTTTAACCTCACTTGAGGCCGGCACATCTCCTTCCTCTAAGGTTTCCACCCAGAGTGTACATTCCTCCTGTGTTTATCAGGAGTTCCTTCCAGTTATTGGAAGTTTCCTTCAGTTATTGAAGTATTCCTCCAGTTATTGGAGCATTCCTCCAGTTATTGGAGTATTCCTCCAGTTATTGGAGTATTCCTCCAGTTATTGGAGTATTCCCAACCGGTGATCAGCCGGTGGTGCACAATTCCAGTACAAGTACCGTCCATAAGAGTTAATTTCAAGCACAATACAAGTCTCTCAAATTCCAAGAGACAATTTCGACTCCACCAGGAGTTCGCACATGTACTTACAGTTTTAAGTTTTCGTATCACACGAACCACAGTTGAATTTGATTTTATTTTTTTTTCACTTGATATTTAAGCAGAATACTACTGGGCCCATAACCTGTTGTGATATCAGGTTTGGGGATTTAGAATAACAGATGAAACACGATGAACTTTGGGATCAAGATTTAATACGTCCTTCTCACACAAGGTACACACACAGAGAGGGCCCGGGAACGGACGAAGACACTGGACAGGCACCTGCACTGCCAGGCAGAGATTCCAAGTGATACAAGGCGGAGATCACACCAGGGCGAGATTGCTCATTTCTCAACATATATGACGAATCACTGGATTTGACAATAATTGGTCCCCGTTAACTGGTTCAGATCAGCCTACCCTAAACTGACTCTCTTAATATTAACTGTGATAACGTAGGCCAATCAATATTGTTTTATTCACTGGTTCACAATGAAAGAATGACAAAATGTTTCATAGATATTACTTATAAAATTGAGAATTCATTAGTTAAGAAAAAAGAGATATCGAATAGTGACCCAATCATACGAGTAACCAATTAAGCGATTCAATGCTGGCAATTGAATGTTACTCGACTGAGGGATTCACATTGGTGTGGCATCAGGGAATTGGTGATGACAGTGGGTGCTTCATGAAGACAGTGTAGGAATGTACAGAAATTGAGTCTAGATAGTTGTTTGTAGATTTCAGTGTACTAGTCACAAAAGCTACATTTATTTCAATGCCAAACCTACATTTTCACCTAGAGCTACGCAATTTGGGGCGAAACTTTCTAATTTGAGAGTCATGCGTTTCCCTGCAGTTTTCAGTGCGCTGACTTCAATATTGACTTCTAAATAGTCCCCAGACCCAAAATTTAACCGATTTTGGGTCAAATTTTTTAAATTGAATTGCACATTGATTCTTGCAGTTTTTTGAGTGCTGATAGCAAAAATCACTTCCATTTTGACATCAGACTTATATTTTCATCCGAAACGAGGTCATTTTGGACCAAAATTTTCAAGTCGAGTCTTATATTGTTTCCTGCAGTTTTTGGTGTGCTGAACTCAAAACTGACTTCCAAAATTTTCCCAGACTCACACTTACCCGAATTTTGACCAATTTTGGACCAAAATTTTTAAATCGAGTTTGACATTGATCCCAGCAGTTTTTGGTGTGCTGATAACGAAAATCACTCTCATTTCGACTCCAGACTTATATTTTCATCCCAAATTAGGTCATTTTGGACCAAAATTTTCAAGTCGAGTTTTATATTGTTTCCTGCAGTTTTTGGTGTGCTGAACTCAAAAATGACCTTCAAACTTTTCCCAGACTCACATTTAACCGAATTTTAACCAATTTTGGACCAAAATTTTTAAATCGAGTTTGGCATTGATCCCAGCAGTTTTTGGTGTTCTGATAACGAAAATCACTTCCATTTGTACCCCTGGTCTAAAGTTCACTCAATATGAGTCCTTAAGATGCACATTTCGTCTTCTCAAGCAAAGTCCAAAGTGCACAAACCATGTCAATTCGCTTCGCTCAGCCACACTACGCGCCCAGACTAAACGGCGCGTACCCCTAGTAATACTGGTCGGACATTTTGCGGCCAAGAGGCCGCAACGAATGGACTTATTGCTTCAACGGAATTTTCATCGAGAAAGCTACCCTGTGAGTTCGTGCATACTGGCGTGCCAAAAAGCCCCCCTCTCCCAAAAAAGTATCGGCGCAGTTTTTAGTCAAAGCCCTGTCAGTTCAGCAAAAGTGGCCTCCCGCCCTCTCCGCGACGTCGAGCTGTGCACGTCACTGTTGAATCGACGGGAGCTAAGTGTGGTACCTGGCGTACCACAGTGTACCACGAGGAGAGGCTTGACGATGCAAGACAAGATTCATTACGTCCATTTGTAGTCACCTTGCTGGAGTCTGTACAAAGTCATACTTAGTTGCACAACAACTGCACGTAAGCCGCGCATGTTAGGCTTAGGCAGCCAGACTCCAGCAGTATAAAGAGGTGCAACATCGATGTTGAGTCAGTTCAGCCATAGCCCCCAGGTGCCTAGACCGTTGATCCAAGTACGTAGTACTTATGACAGATAGTGCATTCAACAAAAATGCGTTGTTCCCATCGTTGCAGTCGCTGAACCTAGCGATTAATTTTTTCAGTTTGCGAAAAGGCAGTAGTAAGCTGCGCTCCAGGAGGAAACGACTGAGACATTTGGCGTCTGCCGGATCACGATTACATCGGATTACCTCGGATGACAAAACTAGTGTCAAGTCGCTTCCCCTGGGATGCGCTGCGACAGTGCCCGTCGGTGTGTTCCGCGGAGCTGAAACACCAAAACAACAAAAGACCTTCTGTTGTTGTTGTCGTTGCTGTTGCTATTGTTGTCGTCGTCGTTGTTGATACTGTTGATGACTTTCATTCTTAGACTGGAACTGCGACAGGGAGAGCGGGAAAGGGCGTTCTGAGGGTTCAGAGAACTTCGTTCGGCAACAGCTACCTTTTAAAATACTAAACGAAAAACCACAAAAAATAAAAACAGGTGGTGTGTGTTTGTGTTTCCCAGCGGCGGCCGGGACGAAGGACGAAGCGGCGCAACTTGACACTGCCTCGCGCTTGGCGCTCCGCTCCGCACTGCTCCGCAGCCACCCTTTGTTGGGGTAGTGATCCGATTTGAATAGCAAGGGCGGCCAGCGCGCGCGGGATGCGTTTTGTTTGAGTCGCGCTCGCACGAGGCCTGCACGAGGCGCTGTAACAGTGTGCCCTCGCCTCGCTACCGGCCAAATTAGATTGCCGAGTCGGGCTTGTTCTGCCGGTTCGTGCGCGCCGGAGCACGGCCGGGGCGGGCGGTGCGGCAATACGGCGGCACGGCCGGAGCACGGCAGCACTGGCAGTACGGAGCGCGGGCTCCGGATTTGAGATTAGGCGCTCCGTCAACCAGCACTCCTCCGGCATCTTTGATCTCTTGCTTACTTGGCCGGGCCATGTCAGAGACGTGTTTGCTCGCCTGCCTCCCACCGGCCGCACTGAGAGAAATATGATTGGACCCCACGACTAAAAGTTAAGGTGTGGTACCCCAAACTTTTTAGGCTCATTTGCCTTGACTAAAATATTTGTGGTTGGGACTAAACAGCGATGTCTCAACAAGGCGTGGCAGCTAAACACATTCAAAACTCTATTAAAACAGTTTACGGGTGACAGCTAAACCATTCTTCCGGAGAAAGGAACAACGTTTAGATGGATCTGTGAAGTGATCTTGTCATTTCAGTAAAGGCGTTGGCTCGCGCCTCGGTGGCTCGCGCGCAGACCATGACCGGCCGGCGGGGATTCCCGGCGGGAATTCCAAGTGGTGCTCCGCTTTCTTCCCGTGCTTCCCCTCCCCGCCCGTCATCCTCGTTGTCTGGCGTCGCTCGCGTCGCGGACCGTCGCGGACCGTCGCGGACCGTCGGGGGCCGTGGCGGACGAATGTGATCCTCTTCTCGGGTGTTGACAGGAAGAGTCTGCGAGTCGAGTCTCCGCGGGTCGGTGGCGAGTTGGCCGCTACCCCTCTCATCATGCCTCATTTTAAATTCCGCTTCGCCCCCGGCTTTCATCTCGCAAGAATACAGCGTCCTCAAAATTGAATTTGCCGCCGTTTGTGTTGGCGCGGCGGGGCGTGGCGGGGCGTGGCGGATGTGGGGCGTGGGGCGTGGGGCACAGGAGGGGGGGGGGGGTCACGGTCGCCAGCCGCAGTCCGCGCGCTGAATACGGACGCCGGCGTCCATGTTCTGGATTCGGATCAAAAATGCAATAATTTTTCCGACATTGTCCTCGCTCATTCCGACGTCCCGACGTCGAAACCGACTGAATTTTTTAAGCTAAAGTGACAATGAAGAAAAACATTTTCACGCGGATTAGAAAACCAAACAGGATTTTCTTTGCTATGGTGAAACTGGTTTGGCGAAAGTTGCAAGCGCAGCCACACTCGCAGCTTCCCGCCGCGGCTGCGGCGTCACGCCGACAAGACTCATACATAATGACGAGCTCTCTGTTTCCGGAACACTTTGCGGTATTGACAGACCGTCTCCGGCGGTGTGTTGCCGGACTTGGACCGCAGGAATGGCCAGGCACGCCCAGGCACGCCCAGGCACCCCCAGGCACGGCCTTCCAGTGTGCCGTTCTTAAGTTTTCCGCGATGATTATTCCAGCCAATCCCCGGAGTAAACAGCCGGGCCGCTGCGCTCCCCACCCGCCGCCCCACAGCCCCCGCCGCCCCCGCCCCTTGTTCCGCGATCCCAGTCCCGCAGTCCTCGGTTTGCTCAAGAAACGAGTTCGGGTGTTATCTGTCCGCCCTGAAAGCCGCCCCCGCCTGCCGAGCGATTTAGAAGAGCAGTTTCGTCGCTCTGTCTCTGTCGCACTCCTGGGCGTCGCCACAAAAGCGTGAGAGGGACAGTTCGATGAACCGCCGATTCAAATCGCTCGACCGCGCCACTTTTTCATGGCGGGGAAGATCGTCGCTTTGTGGAGAACCGATTTCGATTGCCGTGCCACGCCACGCCGTATCACGCTGCATACGAGTGTGCGGACGAGGGGAACGAGGGGGATGAGGGGAACAAGGGGGATGAGGATAAGGAGGGGGATGAGGGGGACAAGGGGGATGAGGATAAGGAGGGGTATGAGGGGGACAAGGGGGATGAGAGGAACGAAGGGGACGAGGGTGACGAGGGGATGAGGGGAACGGAGGGGGATGAGGGGCACGAAGGGGATGAGGGGAACGAAGGGGATGAGGGGGACGAAGGGGATGAGGGGGACGGAGGGGATGAGGGGGACGAGGGGGATGAGGGGAACGAAAGGGATGAGGAGGACGAGGGGGATGAGGGGAACGGAGGGGGATGAGGGGGACGAGGGGGATGAGGGGAACGAAGGGGATGAGGGGAACGGAGGGGATGAGGGGGACGAGAGGGATGAGGGGAACGAAGGGGATGAGGGGGACGAGGGGGATGAGGGGAACGGAGGGGGATGAGGGGGACGAGGGGGATGAGGGGAACGAAGGGGATGAGGGGGACGAGGGGGATGAGGGGAACGGAGGGGGATGAGGGGGACGAGGGGGATGAGGGAAACGAAGGGGATGAGGGGAACGAAGGGGATGAGGGGAACGGAGGGGATGAGGGGGACGAAAGGGATGAGGGGGACGAGGGGGATGAGGGGGACGAAGGGGATGAGGGGGACGAAGGGGATGAGGGGAACGGAGGGGATGAGGGGGACGAGGGGGATCAGGGGGCGAGGGGGGCGAAGGGGACGAGGGCCTAGGGAGACGACGGGGACGTGGGAGGACGAGGAGAAAACGCAGGGAACGCGGGGAACGCGGGAAATGCGGAGAATGCGGAGAAGATGGAGATCGGATCCACAAAAAAAAGAGAATAAAACAAACAAAAATACAGGATCTTAAAGCGAGCCCCCGTCCCGGCCCCCGCGCTCCGGCGCGCGATTCGTTTTGTTCCTCCCCGTTTTATATTGGAACTTGGCATGTCCATGCCGATCTCGTCAGCCGCCTTGCTCGCTGAAAAGCCATTACCGTATCGGAGGGCGTCGCGCCGGGCGGCCATGCAGGGGCTGGGGCTGGCGAGCTCGTGGAGCGACGCCTTGGCCGGCCTTGCCGTCCGTCCACTCGGTCCACACCTGAGCGGCCCGGCCCGGCCCGGCCAGTTTGCCCCAGCAGTAGTGGAGGCTGGAGGTCCGTGGCGCCAGCGGTAACCTGATGAGCAAACGTAGCCTCTCCCCCCGTCCAGGGGGTGGGCGCGGCCCGGCGCGGCCCGGGGCCACTGCGGAACGGCCAAGCCAAACAGGCCGGCCCAGCAGGCCGAGCAGGCCGAGCGGCCGGTGCCGGTTGCGGGCGATGGTGCGACGGGGAGGGGGGGGGGACTCGTGCTGCGCCTGCTGGAAAGTCTGCGCCGCTCCCTCCTTCCGGCGGCATCAAATATTCATTACGAATTTGGTTGAATTTTACAGGACTGAGGTGAAAGCTGCAGCGCAGCGTGGCGTAGGGGGAAGGGGCGGTGTGGGCCTGCGCCGTGGAAGGCCTCCGAATGGCCCGACGTGCCGCACTCTCAATGTCTCACGGTGAAAAGCTGCAACAACAACGTAATATGGTGGATATTACGGTATTCTCCAGGAAATTGGATAAAATATCTGTAAGGAACAATCAATATTCAGAGGTCAGTTTAGAGAGGTACGGAGTACGATTTCCCGCTTAAGTTCAGACCTAATATTGCCGCGAAGTTAGTCACGACGGTGGTAAATGTGTACAAATAGTGGTTTAGGGCTTGTGGTTTAGCGCCCGTGGCTGAATCGTAGCGCCCCGTGGCCTTGCCTTGGCCACGGCCACGCTGCAGGCCTGCAGGCCAAGGGTCACAAATGCTCAGGATCCATTGCGAGATTCAGAGCCAGGCCAAGAGCCAGGCCAAGACCCAGGCCAGTGGCTACGTGCCACAGGGCCGCGGGACCGCAGGGGTCGCCTTGGTGGTGGTGGGGGGTGGCCGCGCTAGGTCAGGCCAGGTCAGACCATCGCCAAGGTGGAGAGGCGGTTGCAAATTATTTATCGTCTCCAGACATTAGCATTCTGGTGTGAGAGAGAGAGAGAGGGGGGGGGGAGCGAGAGAGAAGTGAGAGACGACAGACAGAAAGGGACGGAGAGATGGAGAGAGCGAAAGAGAGAGAGACAGGGCTGGCGCGGTCGAAGTTGGACCGCACGGCGGAGAGGGCGTCGAGTGGTTCTGAGGGCTTCAAGATCCGCGATAAGCTAGATCGGGGCGGGGCCCGGCGGGGCCAGCTTATTGCTGGCGCGGCAGTGGTTCCATCTCGGATTGGAAAATTTGCCATCTGCAGCCAATGAAGGGCGCAAGAGGCTCGCTTCCTCTCTGTGGACTTCCTCTGCAGTGCAAACAAGGCCAGAGCGCTGCACTCCCAAGTCGAAGGAGGAAATGCGCAGCAAGCTACTGGTGCAAGCCGGGGCTACTGCTAGCCCGGGCAAGCCTCTGCACCCCCGCGGCGTCCACACGCGGCCTCTACAGCCCGCCTCTTCCGTTCTCAAGCGAGCTCTCGCGAATCGCGCCCTCGCTTTGGATCGATTCGATTCAGTTGGCAAAGAGTAATAACAGCCAAGTGTAGGCTCTCGAGGCAGGCGGCCGCGGCCCTCTTTGTGTCCCCCTCCCCTCCACTTGGAGGCCGCCCCGCCCCACCCCGCCCCGCCCCGAGCCCACCCCGGAGTCTGGTGCAATCAGCTCGAAAATGGAGGCAGGCTGGCAGGCTGGGAGGCATGCAGAGAGGCAGGCAGTCAGGACGGCGGTGACTGCGTAAGGGATCCTCTCTGTGCGCCGCGGGCAAGGCAAGGCAAGCCGCGCTTAACGCGCCGCCTCCCCATTCCCACCACGCGTGTGCGCAGCACAGCGGCACCGCGGCACAGCTTGCGAGGCGTTCCGGGCACCACTCGAGACGAGACGCGCTTTGCCCGGCTTTTCCCGGCTTCGCCGCTGAACGGATTATTATAAGTGGGCCGAGCCAGAAGTGCAGTGCGGACGCGGAGCGTCTCCATCCATCGCCAGTCGTTGGCGGCGACGCGGCGGGCCGAGGCGGGGGCAGACCCCGACCACCCCGACCACCCCGACCACTCCGACCACCCCGACCACCCCGACCACCCCGACCACCCCGACCACCCCGACCACCCCGACCACCCCGACCACCCCGACCACCCCGAACACCCCGACCACCCGGCAGCGCTGCACAAAGCCACACGGGCTGTTGCTGGAGGGCCGGAAACTTAAAACAACGGAGCCCACCGTCGCCGCGATTTTGCCTTTGTCCGCGAGGGGCACTGCCACTGTGGCACTGTGGCACCCTTGTTCGTTCTGTTCTCGACTCCACAAGTGGCGCGACGCTGCGTGCTGCGCTACATTGTAATTCGGGCCTCCTGCGCCCCGGCACGGACTGCCGAGTGGCTGGCCCCTTTACATGTTGGGCTGCTCGGCAGGCCCGGCAGGCAGGGGGTGCGGCGGGGCCAGGGCAAGGCCCGCCGGCCAGTCAGCTGCTGGACTTGAAGCCTATTCAACCCCGACGCCAACACTGTCTACTACCAAGTGCGGCGCGTGTGTGCGCGCCTGTGTCTGAGCGCCTACCCCCTCGCGCCGGGGGGAGTCCCACCGCGTCCCATTGGGGTCCCATTTGCCGGTGCGTGTGCGTGCGTGACTGCGTGCGCATGCGTACCTGATGCGTGTGCGCGCGAGTGTCTCTGTATGGGAGAGAGGGGCTGTGAGGCCCGTATTCCAGCAAGAGTCGTTACGGAGCGCCGTGTTGGAAGCACCATGACGCGCGTAATGCGTCGCAGGGTCGCCCGCACGGCGCGCACTCACACAACGCGACACACACACACACACACACATGCGGGCGCATGCAGCATCAGCCATCCTCGCGCTTGTTTCGCGCGAAATCACTATGGCAGGCGCCACTGCCGAGCCAGCCGTCTGATTCCGAACACTGCTTCGTCACTCTGTCTCTCTTGCACCCCTACGGACCGCCCCATGAGTGCAAGAGAGACAGAGCGACGAAAGCAGTGCTCGGAATCAGACGGCAGCGACCTCGCGCCACGCTCCGCACGGACGAGGCGAGGCCGGGCAAGGCACCCCGAACGCCTGCAAACGGCAGGGTAGGCAACGCGCCACGCCGCCGAGCGTGCCACTGCGGGGTGTTGCCTACCCGGCTGTCTGCAGGCGCCCGGCGATGAATTGATGGCCCGCCACTGAGCCGCCCCCGGCAACGCTAGTGCCGCCCCGCTAGTGCCGCCCCCCAACAGCAGTAATTATTCTTTGCCGATTCCGCTGTCACGTGTAGCGCCAGCGGCGGGGACGAGGGCAGGCCGTGCGGTGGAGCGAGGGCGGCGGGGGCGGCGGGGGCGGCGGGGGCGGCCGTGGTGGGGCGTGACGTGGCGTCAGGCTGTGACGTCAGGCCGTGACCCCGCGCTAGACATGCATGGCCCCGTTTCGGCGGCACACGGTTGATTTGTGTGCGGGCGGACGCGCTCGGACACGAGTGGCACTACCGAAATGCAGGCCGGCTGCGCCGCTGCGCCGCTGCGCCCCGCTCTCGTGCAGTGCAGGTGCAGCGTCGCAGCGCCGCGTGAAGCAATCGATTAAAGCAGTGCTTGCGCCTCCCCGCCCATCCGGACCCGAATCCGGACCCTTGCACCCTGGGACCCCGGACCCTCGGTGCCCTGCGCCGTGAGCGCTGCGTCTGGCTGCCCTGCGTCCCTTCCGGCGCAAGGCAGGGCCAGGGTAGGGCGGGGCAGGGCGGGGCAGGGCAGGGCGGGGCAGGGCGGGGCAGGGCAGGGCAGGGCGGGGCAGGGCAGGGCAGGCGAAGTGCGAGGCGGCGCCGGATTGAGGCAGGTGGCTGGCTGTGCGAGCGGCGCGGCTTCGTCACCGCGCCACCACACGACGCCGCCACACATCCGCGCTCGGAACACAAAGCGGGCCAATTTGCACCTGCCGCGCGTTCTAATTAATTAGACCGGCTAGAGCCGATGGCGGTGCGGTGCCGTGCGGTGGGGCGGGTGGCGCGCGGCGTGAGCTAAGACACCCGGCGGCGACGCGCTGGGACACCGGGGCGGCTCGGCTCGGCACCCCTCCGCGCGCGCGGTGATGTAACGTGTTCGGCAAGGGTGCCACTGGGGTCGCCCCACCGCACCACTCCGCAGCCCCCCTTCCCAAGAAAGAGGAGAAATACAATACCTGTCATTCGCGCGCGAAACCCCAAACCGCGCCGAGCAGAGACAACCTGAAAGAAAATAACAACGACGAGCGAAACCGGTTCTCGGAGACTTGAGACGTTTGTTGCGTCATGTGCTCCGCTCCAGCGTGGCGTCCAACGAGTTCTTGCTGCGCCACTGGCGGCGGTGCCGCGGCCGCTGCCCGGATTATTGGGATTGCTGGCTATGCATTACTGCGGGAGACAGCCGCGCCGCTGCGCCAATCTAACCTCGCCTCATGAATGTGGTTTTGTTGCAGGCATCATCACGAGTGGTGGCGTCCGCATGGGCGGGGGCGGGGGCGGGCCCGGGCCGGCCGGGGTCGGCGAGCGCTGCAGCCCGGTGGCTCACCACAAGAGCTCCGCCGAGAGCGTGCCGGGGCTGGCGGGGCTGGGAGGGGGGCTGGGAAGCTTCGGGGGGCTCGGCCGCCCCTACGGAGGCCCCTACCCCCACCCCCAGGCCCGGTCCGTCTCGCGCCAGAGCCTACTGGACCTGGTGGGATGCCGCCTGGGGGTGGGCAGGAACCAGCGTCAGCACCAGGTGAGTCAATCTCACTACTCCCAAAACTTGTTTCATCAACTCACAACTGAAGCCAGTTGCGAAAATCCTCGCTGAATCGTTGGTGTGCTCCGCGTTTGATTGCGAGGCTTCGGCCTGTGACCGTAATGTGGCTAATGCTTGTCCCAGCAGAGGTACTTCTCGTCGTCGCGGGACTCGCTGGCGGCGAGCTACGTGAACCGCGCCGCGACGGCCTCGGAGCTGGACCTGTCGCGGAAGGCGCGGCGCCGCGAGCTGCGGGGCCGCCTCAAGCTGCCGGCGGCCGTGGCCAGCATGACGGGGTCCTCGATGGGGGACTCCCGGGCGGGCATGGGCGCCCACGGCGCGGGCCCCATGGGCTCGGGGACGGCGCTGCTGCCGCGTGGCTCGGTGGCGCACGGCAGCGCGGGCTACGGCGGCATCCAGCACCGAGGCAGGGGCAGCACCACGGCGACGCGGGGGCCGGGCAGGCCGCACCCAGGCCCGTCGTGGTCCTTCGTGTTCGACCCTGCGGGCCGGCTCTGCTACTACTGGTCCATGGTTGTCTCGCTGGCCTTCCTCTACAACTTCTGGGTTATCATCTACCGCTTCGCGTTCCAAGAGATCAACCGTGAGTATTTCTGCAGTGTAGTCCCGCCCTTCATTGCTTCCACTTCCAGCTTCACCCTCCACTGGCGCTTCTTCTGTACCGAGGCGTCGCCGAGCGTCCTTTGTCCCCTCTGGAATGTTGACCACGGCAACCTCTCGCGTCGCCTGCCACTCATCCAGTTCCATGACACGGATTCCATTGAATGGAATGGCATGGAATGGCAGTGCAGTGGCAAGGGAACGCCGTCAAAGTTAAAACGAGGCACTCCTTTGCGAGAGTTGCCGAGTGCAGCCCCTGTCCGCAATCAGATTTACAACTACTTTCTGTGTAATTGACATTTCGCTGCGGAAGTTGGCGTCGCGACGTCAAAGTTGGCAACTTGTCCGCCTCGCCGACGCAGTGCCCGACGCAAGGCCCGACGGCTTCGGAGTGCCCGCTTATTGCTTCGTCCACCGCGGGGGCCTTGACGGCGGCGGCGGCGCGGTGTTGTTGGGCGGGAGTGGTCGGAGTGGCCGGGGTCGCCTCAGGGGCTGCAGGCCCGCCACAATGGAGCCGGCCAGCCGACGGCCAGCGAGGACAAAGTTTGGCAGTAAACCACGCCCCGTCCGAGCACGCCGCGCCGCCGTGCCTCCGTGCCAGTGACCGCGTGTGCGCCTTCCGCCCCTCCATGGCAACGCCTTCTCGGCTGTATCACGACACTGATTCTTGTTTCTGCTGCAGGAGAGTCGATAGTGGTGTGGTTCTGTCTGGACTACCTCGCCGACTTCCTGTACGTGGCCGACATCGTCTTCCACTTCCGCACCGGCTACCTGGAGGACGGGGTGCTGCAGACGGACGCGGGCAAGCTGCGGCAGCACTACATGAACTCCACCACCTTCTACATCGACTGCTTGTGTTTGCTGCCGCTAGACTTCCTCTACTTGTCCATTGGCTTCAACTCGGTGCTGCGGGGGTTTCGCCTCGTCAAGATCTACCGCTTCTGGGCCTTCATGGACCGCACCGAGAGGCACACCAACTACCCCAACCTCTTCCGGTCCACCAGGTGCGGTCTGCCTTCCAGGAGCCACCGAGCCCCGCCCCGCCCGGCCACTGCAGCTCTGCTTTTGTTGCAGCCTCATCCACTACCTTCTAGTCATCTTCCACTGGAACGGCTGCCTGTACCACATAGTGTACAAGAACAACGGCTTCGGCAGCAAGAACTGGGTGTTCGGGGACCACGACAGCGGAGACGTCGTCAAGCAGTACCTGCAGAGCTACTACTGGTGCACTCTCGCGCTCACCACGATAGGTAAGCAGCATGCCTCGCTCTGTCGCGCTCGGGCCCCAATGCCCTCGAGCGATGTTTGGTTTCCTCAGCGCGTGGCTGCAGACACTGCAGAGCAGCGGGCTTCTCCCGATCTAATGAGCGTCCTTTGGTTCCGCTCCGCGCCCTGCAGGGAAAGGCGGACGCGAAGGGTCTCCGATTAGACAGACCCTTCAGGCCCTTGAGATGTTGTTACTAGGCACTCGACTGGGGGTGTCTGCTGCAGAGACGCGAAGCAGGGACGGGCCAAGAGGAGGGCGAGGGGAGGGGGGCAACCGCACCCCTATGCTCGGCTCGGCCCGAGGCCCGGCCCCTCACTGTCAACCTGTTGCACGGCACGCCCCCTCCCCGCAGATACCAGTGTGAGGGGCGCGGTTGGACGGCCTTCCTGGAAGACAGCGATCGGTGCGGGGGCGGCACGGAGGTGGTGAGGGGCGGGTGCCTGTTTTCCCCTATCCCAACGTCCCGTCGGAGTGTTGGAGCATGTCAGGGCTAACGTGGCTTCCCTCTGTTCGCAGGAGACCTGCCGAGGCCACGCTCCAAGGGCGAGTACATGTTCGTGATAGGACAGCTGTTGTTCGGCCTACTCCTGTTCGCCACGGTGCTCGGCCACGTCGCCAACATCGTGACCAGCGTCAGCACGGCGCGGAAGGAGTTCCAAGGTGAGTCCAGCGCCAAGGCCTTGCCGCCTTGCCGTCGGCGAAGGCACCGTGTCGTGCCAGACACGCGCCTCGAACAGGCGGAATACACAAGGAAAACTGGGACCAGATACCCTTTAGGTCGCATGGGAAAGGAAAGGCACGGAGTCGTGTGTGTGTGTGTGTGTGTGTGTGTGTGTGTGTGTTTGTGTTTGTGCGAGTGCGTGTGGAAGTGTGTGGGGTGGGGGGCAGGGCATCAAAGGGCAGCCATCGTGAGGGACTCCGGCGGACACGCCCATTTCACCGGCCCCGCTGCGCACACACGCCCCGCCGGGCACACACGCCCCGCGCCCCGCGCCCCGCCAGGCCCGACTGGCGTGACAAGTCGCAATCCCGCTGAGTTGGCGCGCCGACTGATCCCGTCCGTTCCAAAGCCATCCAGTTTGCGCGACCTACAAATGGCTGCATCAGGATCCCGCGTAACGCGTTTGTCGCGGTGAGTTCGGGGGCACGGTTGTAGTAGTGTCCCACCAGCGGCGCCAGCCTCGCCACCCGCGCCAGCCCCGCCACCCGCGCCAGCCCCGCAGGCGTAGCTGAACCTGCGGCCCGCGGGTGGTTGACCAGGTTGACCAGGTTGACCAGGCAGTCAAATGGCGCAGGCTGCGCAGCGCAGACGGGGCGGCGCGAACTGGGTCGTGACGTCAGCCGGCGGCCAGCTCGGCCAGTCCGGCCAGCTGCCCCATCACTCACCGAAGACAAAACGCCTCGTTCCGACCACAAGGACACGCCGGCCGTCACGGCGGCCGTCATGTGCGCACGATGATGACCAGCGACCAGCGCGCCGCAGCGTGCCGCGTCGGAACGGCGGGGGTCGGGCAGCGGAGGCAGAGCATGTGCAGTACAGGGTCGGTGCGCACGAGCCTCGCCGAGAACGACGACACCCGGCCAGCGGGTAAAAGGGGTGAAAGAGGTAAAGGCAGAGGCCACAGTGTGGGCGGCGCTCAGGGCAAGAAATGGCACCAAAAGTACAGTCCGCACACGTCGCGCTCAAACCGAGCTCAAAGGGCGCCGTTCCTTGTCCTCCTCGTCCTCTTTCACGTGCCCCTCTTCCTCTTTCTCGTGCTCCTCTTCCTCTTTCACGTGCTCCTCTTCCTCTTTCACGTGCTCCTCTTCCTCCTTCACGTGCTCCTCTCCCTCTTTCACGTGCTCCTCGTTCTCTTTCTCGTGCTCCTCTTCCTCTTTCACGTGCTCCTCGTTCTCTCGTGCTCCTCTTCCTCTCTTCGTGATCCTCGCCCTCTTTCACGTGCTCCTCTTCCTCTCCCTCGAGCTCCTCGTGCTCCTTGTCCTCCTCGTCCTCCTCGTCTTCCTCTGCACCCCCCCCCCCCCCTTGCTGCTCCGCAAACTTTGACTGCCCTGCGCTGCGTCACCACGACCACTACTACCCTCCCCGCCGGCCAGGCGGCCAGTCGGGCGGCCAGAGCGGCCAGCCGGGCCGCCAGCGCAGCAGCCCGCGGCAACGGAGCGGAAACAAGTTGACCGCCTGAACGTGCTGCTTTTTTCATGAACATGACTCGGAGCGTCTCCGGGCGTCTCGGGGCGGGGGGTGTAACCGATGTTTTAGTGCCCCGGCCGGCCGTTTGGGACATGTGTGGAGCCATGGTGGACCCATGGCCAACAGGCCAAGCCATGGTGGAGCCCACGACCGCGCAGCGACCATATAGACCCCGCCACAGCAACGCGGTGCGCATCCACCCCGCCGGCGACGTAGGGAATATAGGGTAGCTCCAACAACGGCCCACCACGGCCCACCACGGCCCACCACGGCCCACCACGGCCCACCATGGTGCACCAAAGCGCACCAGGTACAAAGTGAACGGGAGATGGAGTGGGGATTGGTCCACGCACACAGCGGTATGCGTGGAGGCGGGTAATATTGGCGCAACCGAGCCGTGCCGTATTGCGGTAGAGGCCTGCGGGAGCGAGGGCCCCGCGGGCTGGGGCTGGAGAGGGGGAAGCAGGGGGAAGCAGGAGAAGGGGAATTGAGCGCTGGAAGCGGGGAAGGGAGAATTATGCGATTTGGCGTGGGAGGGGTAGCAGTTTGGCGCTAGGCGTTTGGCAGGATGTTGCGAGGCAGGAACCGCGGCGCGATGTGGGGAGTGCGGGGCGGGGTGAGGCGGGGTGAGGGGGGGCGACGCGGGGCGGGGCGGGGTGCGCACGTTCCCACGACCTGCATTATACGGTCGCGATGATCGTTAGAAACACAATCAGCTCGCATCGCCCGCCCCTCCGGCCCCTCTGGCCCCTCTGCACTGCGGTGCGTTACACTCCGCAGCACAGCCTGACGCAGACTCTGTGGCATTTCGCGGCACTCTGCTGTACCTGAGGTTCACTCTGCGGTACCTGAGGTTCACTCTGCGGTACCTGAGGTTCACTCTGCGGTACACTGTGCGGTACGTTCCGAGGCACCGGAGCCGCGAGCTGACGTTTGTCTGGGACGAGTAGGAATCCGGGGCGGCGGCTCGCGGCTTAAATGAAAGTGGTTGAGACTCTTCGTGCCTCTGCCTCTGGCGCTGCCTCTGGCGCTGCCTCTGGCGCTGCACCTTGGCGGCCGAAATGGCGAATCTCTAAATCCCCAGGCTGCGCGCGGCGCTGCCGGGAGGATCGCTCTTAAATTGAATGGAAGCCACCGTGGCGTGACGTCATCTCGCTGGCGTGCGCCCCGCCGCCCCACCTCGCCCCGCCCCGCCCCACCACGCCCCACCCCGTCACCTCATCGCCTGACGAAGGGGTGCCGCCCTTTGGGGACGAACAAGGACAGGAAACGTCCTTGTCGCAGCGCTCCACTTTCATGCCATGCACGGGGCGGGGCGGGGCGGGGCGGGGCGGGGCGGGGCGGGCTGCGGCGTGGCGATTCCCGGCATCGTGGCGAAAAAGAGGCGGCCTCGAGGGGGCGTGGCGTGGCGTCGGCCGCGCCGCGCCGAGGTGTTGGCTTACGAGGCCACTCCGCACGGTCTACCTGGGGTGGCTGCGAGGCTTGGGCGCATGTCACCGAAACCCTCGACGGGTACACTCATAAAACAAACAGCAATCCAAGAAAGGCTGAAAAAAAAGTTGCACCATTTATGTGGTCTTCAGTGCCGGCCGGTGGGGTGGGCGATATCGAAGTTTCAGTATCGCAATTGCGGCTTCCCGGTGGAAGAAGAATTGAACCTGCAATTTTAGAGCATGCCCTAAAATTGTGATGAGTTTGAGTCCGTACGCCCCATTATGGACTCCGCCGGGAAATCGGCACGAAAATTAGCCATTTGGGGGATTCTTTTTCCGGCGTTGGTGGGAGGGTTGAGGGTGGGGGCTGTGGGGGCTGCGGGGCTCCCTGCCTCGTTGCTTCCTGTTCACGTTGCCTCGTTGCCAGGCCCTGGGCCAACATCCCACCTGACAGGACCCGGCCCAGCCACCGAGCCCCCTTCCCTGCTTGGCTTGCCGTCGGCCAAAAGGGCTCCGGCATGCCTTAAACTCGCTGACAGGGTGCCGCCGTGCCGAGCCGTGCCGAGCCGTGCCGAGCCGTGCCAAAGAGGGGGCACGAAGTTTCACTTTGGTCTTCAATCCTTTTCCCTTTGCTGCTCGGGGCCTGTTTCCATTGTTTCTATTCGACTATAGAAACTTGCATCGATGGCGTGCCTATGGCCAAAGCGAGTAAGCGCTCTCGGCGGGGCTCTCCGAGGGCCCTGGGAAGGAAGGGGAGGGAGGGGCGGCCTCGTCCCCCGTTGCGCCGACCCCAGCAATAACCCGGCCGGCAGTGCCCGGCAGTGCCCGGCAGCACCGAAACCGGTTTCGGTGTTCTCTGGGGGCAGTGAGTGGGTCGAGCCGATCGGCGCACGCCTCAGTGGCGTAACTAAGTCTCAAACCAAGCAGCCGCGGAGCTGCGGGGCCGTGCGGGGCGGCCCAGTGCCGCGTTCTCTGGGCAGCGCGATGACGGACAGGGACATAGCGGGGACGGCGGTGGGTCGAGGCCGCCCAGCAGACCAGCGCCGCCGCACGCCGCTGCACGCGGCCCCGGGGGCAGACGCAAGGCCCCTTCTGCGGGGCCGTAACTTCATTTGGTTATTACCGAGTTGCCGGCAAAATATTGGTTGTACGGCAGGATAACGAGGGCAGGGGGTCTACCTCGGGCGTAGTGCCCAGGGCCCAGTGCCCAGGGGCCGCCCAGGCGCCGCCCAGTGCACGGAACGTAATTTCCTCCTTTTTCCCCGGGATGGTGTAATAAGTACTTGTCAGGACGGCACGCGGCACGCGGCACGCACCGATGAAGAAGTAGGGAGAAAGACAGGGCTGCTGCCACTTGTCCGTGCCCAGCGCGCTAGCGCTAGCGGCCCCCGCCTGCTCCAGGCCTGCTCCCGAGAGGCTCTCGGCGCCCGCTGCCTGCTCCCACGGCCCCACGGCCCCTCAGCCCCCCGCAGGGCTCTGCGACGCCCTACGTACTCCACCTGCATGATGGGCTCCGTGACGTCACGGCGTCCTCCCCTCGGTGCTCCCCGGAGCGCCCTGCCGAGCACCCCGCCGAGGCCGGGCAAACGACACGCGGCGGCAAAAAGAAACCGGCAAAAACCGTCCCGGTGACAGAGACGAAGACGAGGCCCGGCCATCGGTTTTCCTCTTTCCTTTGTTTCCCTTCTTGCTTCCCGTGGTGGAGCCAAGGGCCGCGTCAACGAGGTGACGAGGGCGTGAACTCCTGGAGTGAATCAAGTGAATCAGGGGCGGCTGGCGTACAAAATTTGTACAAAATTTTGTACAATTTTGTACAAAAATAGCGAAAAATGTGCAGTTTTTGTACGAAAATTGTACGAAAATTTCGTGTGCACAAAAAACTATGATGTCTCGAACAAAATTGTACATAACATTTAGTGTGTACCCAAAACGGTCAAAATTTGCCCTTTTTTTGTTACGGTCAAAACGGTGGATTCGTAAATTTATTCACATTATTGGTTCGTTTCCGAACCGAAGCAGCCCAGATGCGATTCAGTGTG